CTTTGTTCAACCTGAAATGACTCATTTAATCATCCAAAACGTTATGGAACACATTAATTAACTGAAAAATGTTGCATAGTGTGCCTTTAATGAAAGAATGTAGTAATACAAATAAACTGAAAGTAATTTAGGGATAAAAACAGTGAAGGATTAAATGTTATGAATAACATAAATTAATGATAAATAACATAAAGGGTAAATAGTTATTTAAGTAGTTACATTAAACTGTATAGTAGCAGAAAAAAGGTGTGTGGTAAACCAAACATGAATATTCAGATTTGTGTTAATGGTTCATGCTGTTTCGTTTGATTGGTTGCGGGATATGTCAATCAGTGTAGGGCCGGTTGGGGTAGGCCGAGGTGGAAGAGGAGAGAAGGGAGACGGAGACAGGCAGAGCTCGTGAAAAGTTAAGGAATAACGCGTTGGAAAATAACCGGGCTGAACGTTTAAGTAACGTAAGAAGCTGCAGTTGCGGACAGTAACGTGCTTTTCTTGCCTAATCACAGTGGATTAAGGTGTTGGAGTAGTGCAAGAGTGACTGTGCGGACTAAGCTAGAGCTATCGCGCTAGCAGTCAAGAGGTCTCCATTGCTGAACAGGAGGGACTGGTTGCACTTCCGGAGGAGGATTTTACTTCTGCTGCCGTTCACGTTCATCTTTATCTCTTCAGGAACTGTTTCTCCAGGACTTATTCCAGACCGTGAGTTGGGGTTTCGTTTTTTGTGACTGTTGATTGCCATTGAGGATAAGGATTTGCTTGCCGCACTGCATCTGGAGCACACAGGCCTGCAACGTTTGTTATTTTGGTGTGCGGGAGTGAGGTTGTGTGTGGGCCCACTGTTTTGTTAGAGTTCAGTTAAGTAGTGTATTTGTTATGAGTCTGATAAATTTTGAGAAATCCTACTAAAGTTTTAAGCACCAGGTATTTCAGAAACCTGAGATAATTTAAGTTTTGAATAGTAATTGGATATTTTTCTTATTACAAGTGTGAATTTATACATTGTTTTGCCAGATTTGGTAAAGGGTACTTTGTTTATAAGTAGGCATCCTAACTATAAGAATTTGTTTTAAAGAAGCTTAATTTGCGTAATTGTTAATGTTGTTTGTTAACTAAAAGCATAAGTATTCTGTGTTGAACTGAAAACACAACTGTTTAGTAAAATATTATTTCATTTAGTTTGGAAGAGTTGTCTGGGGTCAGTTATTTAACATAGTGTAGTGAATAGAGCCACTGCTAAGTCTAACAGTGTTGTGTTTATTCCCAAGGTAGTAGGCTATATAAAGTTCCACACAAAACAGGTAAACCTTCGTGGTAGCTACCTTCAAATATCGAACCCGAACACCCCACCATTCAAGTCCACAGTGAGTTCCTTTTACTTAGGTATTTACTGAGTGTTGGGATGCTACAAATGTATTTTTTTAACTCAATCTTTGGTTATATGAATTGATCTT